GTCTTGGGCATCCAGGAATTCATCCCCGGCCACCTGCTCGGGAAGGGTTTCTTCCTCCTGGTCTTCGAACCCCAGCTTCCCATCGCCCAGGTCCTGGTACGCGGAGGCCCCGGACCGCAGGCTCTCGTACCCGGCGCTCGGCGGGCCCAGGGCATCGCTGTCCCGCCCCGTTTCCAGCCTCGCCTCGGCCTCCGGGTCATGCTGGTCGTAAAGTAAACTTTGCTCGGGGTCGCCCATGGACGGGCTCCCCGGCCCTGCAGCCTCGCACCCCACACACCCAAGGCACCCAATGTATCTGTGGTCACCCGGCAACAGGAGAATGGCCCGCCCAGGTTCTCTGCGGCCACATTCCACATTCCTCTCCTGTCACTCCGCCTTCCTGCGCCATAAACTGGCTGCGTGTGTCCCCGGGGGGGCCTTTGTGTTGGCTGGTCCCCCTGCCCACGCCTGTCCCCATGCCTGGTGTGTCCCAGCGTCTCTCGTTAGATTTCCCTGTGGCGTTTGGTATCACCCAAAAGGACATGACTGATTTATTCCGGTCTCGGTGCGTCCCAGCGTCTCTCGTTAGAATTCCCTGTGGCATTTGGTATCACCCAAAAGGACATGACTGATTTATTCGTTTTCTTCTCTGCCTTGTAGAAAGTCAGGTCCCCAGACTAGGGGCTGAGAGTGTCCCATCGGGGAGGTGCCCGGCCCACAGAAAGCTCTGGGGAAGAGCTGCCGAGGGAATGGTGGGGCCACCCTCTCACTTGACAGGAAGCCGAATCCCCTTCTCGGTTCTTTCTGGGACTATCCGTGCTGTCTAGAGCTCAAGCAGCCATGCTGTGACCATGAGGCCTGCTAGGCTGACGATGCTGAGCTGAAGGGTGGCCGTCTTTGGTGGCGTCCTTGAGCCTATGAACTTGGCAGCCCTGGAGAGCTCTGCGTGTGTGTCGGGGGCGGGCAACACAGACGGGGAGGGGAGAGGCCACGGCGACATCCCAGGCCCAACGGACACCACGCCACGCACAGCAAGAGCGGACTTGCCCAGCCCAGCCCGGGATGCAGTCACATCTCCATGACTTGAGGCCACTAATTTGGGGCTGTCTGTTGGGCAGCCGTCCTGTCCTGAGAGTTTGTCAAAGCAGCCGGGAAGGCCTGCGGGGTCTCTGACAGGTCCCTGACTGGGGAGGAACACTCCCTGGCACCTGCAGCCTTGGCTCC